TTGTAAGGAGGACTGGCGGGGACGTGCAGAAAGAGCCAGGAAGTACCACACTGTTTCACAGCAATAGTGCCAGGGTCTTCTCTTCGCAGCAGAACGAGAGGGCCCTCGCTTGCCGCGGCCACGATGACCAGCCCACTGCTGACTTTCTCTGCCCACTGTAGTAAAGCCTGTGTTTTAGGCAGCCGTGTCTCACCTTTCAGTTTTACCTCCCGGTTTTGTTATTCCTGTAGCATTAATCCTGTGACGGGACGTGTTGAGGAGAAGCTTCCCAACCCCATGGAAGGGATGACTGAAGAGCAGAAGGAATATGAAGCCATGAAGTTAGTCAACATGTTTGACAAGCTGTCCAGGTACTAGAAAACTGTGTATGCCTGTCCTTGTGTTAGCACTTGTGTGGCTGTGACTTACACTTACCACCCATCGTTCTTTCCAAGGCTACAAGGGATGTAAAGAAAAGTTTGAGGAAGAGATTCTGGGAATATTTCTCATGTTCTTTAAGGCAGGTTGTCAAGGGTAGGCATTGCAGTGCCCGTGTTACCACACATGTTCCCTATGTGTCTGCACCGGTTCCAAAGACAGTCACATCACTGAGTTTGGCCAGACACTTGCTAAGAAAAGGAGCCACTATCCCAAGGAAGGAGTGTTTCGGGGACAGATGGCAGTTGGTGCAACCACATCCCCTTCACCCAGTGACCCTGTTCCAGCCACGTCTGTGGCTCATGTTTCACCAGTCGCCTCGTGGTGCTTGGAGGTGTTGTTGATGTAACTGTCCCGTTGCTCTCCTCCGAGCTGGCCCCTGTGACAACATCCACTGGTGCTTCTGACGTAGGTCTGCCACGTCCTGTGGTGTCTGCTGCGCGTCCTGGCTCTGGGTAACCTTGTCCCCTCCTCTTCCATGCTTGCAGAGAGCAAGTCATCCAGCCCATGGGCATTACGCCAAGCGGCAACCTCGCGCCCATGGAGAACGCCATCCGCGACATGGCTGACGAGAGGTCGTCCTCCGACTCGGAGCTGGGGCTGGACTGATCCCGACCTCTCGCCCCCAACCCCAGGGGACTGGGGAGCCTCCATCTGCTCTCCCTTCAGAATTGGTGCTGCACCTGGAGGCTAGTTTTGGGCCAGGACTCTCCCTGTGGGATCTGAATCCAGCCTGGACCCTTCACAATCCACAAGGAACACCCCCTGCCTCCCTCCTAGGTCCACAGCCACCTCTTTCGAGAGGCTCTTCATGACCTGGCTCCACCTTGGTCTCTCCCCTCAACTGTTGTCTTGAGGATTTCAGAGTCCAAACTGCTTCCAGGACTTTCCATTAGTGCGTTTTTTATTTTATTTTTTTCCTCTCGAATACGTGATGCTTGGGAAGAAGGGTGCAGCGACGTGTCAGCCCACGCGTGCTTACGCGGGGGAGCCGCTCCACGAGAGCGGTTATTCGTGCAGGGACGGGGTGGCCATGGGGCGCTCAGCACAGCCCATCGTGAGCGGGGCCCTGTACATGCGTGTGCAGGAGCGCGGGGAGGACCCGTGTGCGAGGGCGGGTTGAGCTCTCGGGTGATGCTGCCATCAACCCCAGGAAAGAAACGTGCGGGCGATGGCCGGAAACCTCTGCGGTTTAGTCAGTGACGCTGTGCAACGCTCCTTTCACCACCGAGTTTAGGTTTTGGCATTAGCCTTCACCCACTGCGCTTTCAAACTGAAAGGCCAAAATCTGTGCTGTGTGTTGCCTCCTCATCTGCCTTGGCTCTTCCACACTTCCATTGCTCTCTGTGCCCGGGGACGGGTGTTGATCCTGTCCTTCCTTGTGGCTTAGTCTTTATTTTTTATTTTTTTTTTCCTTTTTAAAGAAAAGATGATTTAAAATAAAATACTCCGATTTGTCTTGTCCCAAAACTCACTAGCACCCATAAGAATGCAGAAGTTATGCTAGAATAAAGAAAATGTTCTGGTGAACGGCTGCGTGCCAGTGATTGATCCGACACCGCAATCTGAGCAATTAGGGAAACGCGGGTTTGGTTTGTGTGTGTGTGTGTTTTTTTTTTTTTTTTTTTTTTTTTTTTTTTCTTCTTCCTGATAAGCAAAGGGTTCTGCAGTGATTGAGCTCTAACTTTACTGGAGCTGTAAAACTGTAGCATGAAAATGGTGTAAAGCCAGAAGGCCCCTCAGGCCTTGAAGCATGAGCAACAGTCCTGCGAGCTCATGTCTCCTTCACGAGTGCTGCCATGGTTGAAATTGTTGCACGGTGGCCGTATGGGTCTAGTGGGTGACATAATTATGTGAATGGCATCTATTGGGAAGTGCAGCCTGGGGGGCCAGGCTGGGTGATGGGGCACTGCGGCAGCTGCCCACAAAATCTGGGTCGGGTGAGGCTGCAGTTGTGCCTGTTTCCTAGATGGAAGTTGTGCACTCGGACCCTCAGTGATTTTAAGGTTTTGTTTTCAGCAGTCTTGATCGGAAAACTCAGGGTGTCCTAGAGGGTCTACAGTACTGTAAAACTATCCCATGAAGCTTCACAGAGAGGCTTCTGCTATGAGAATAGGTTCAGCCCATCACAGGTGGAGTTTCTAGGCCAACTGCATCTCCGTCCAGCTTTTTCTTTCTTTATTGCTGGAAAAAAGTGTTGCGAGAAGGAACGTGCAGTCGTATTTGAGTGGCACATTTGGATAAGCACGTCTGCTCGTCTGGCTGTGAGTTTGCTCAAGGCTCTCCGAGAAAGTAGCTAGGAAACAGCCCCCAAAAATCTTTCTGTAACGCTAACAGTTGATGTGCCAGACTCCCCGCACCCGGCAATCTTGGTGCCTTTGGCAGAGTCACAGGAGCTTGTGGAAGAGGAGACCCTGACACCTCTAACTGTTAAATGTAAAGCAGCAAGGCAGCTTTTCCAGGCTCTGGGTTTGCCCTAGGGAGAGGTTTTGGGCATAGAAGGGAATAACAGGCGCTTTGAATGTCATGCTCTTAAGATAAAAGTTTGCTCTCCAAAACCTTTGATTCCCTTTGCTTGGGGTTTGTGCCTTTTGGATGTTAATGGCAACACAGCGGTGGAGAAACTCTGGGTTAGAACAGGTACCAACCTGGGATGGGACCCGGGAGCAGCTGAACTTAATATGTTGCTCTAGGGAAGGGGAGCTGCTCCACCTGCACTGTGCAAAGCAGGTGCCTGGAGTTGCTTCCGTACTCGGATACTGCCTCTGCCTGGGACAGCCTTTACAGGGAGGTGTTCATAGAAAAACCCTCAGCTGACGCTGGCAAGAGGATTAGCACTTTTTATTAATAAATAATTATCTCTCCACTGATTCAAAACTGAGTCGGAGCTTCCAGCAGCTGGGGCTGGCCTCCCTCAGACAGAAGGAGGGGGGCAGGCCCCTGGGTAGCATTTGTCCCGTGATTAACAGATTTCATCTGAAGAATTAAGAGTACAGGTCTGCAGCAATGAAAATACTGTGACTACTGAAAAAAATCTGTCTGTGGAGGAGCTGTGGAAGGAGCTGGTGGATGCTCAGTACAGTGGAAGCAGCTTGAGAACTCTAGCCTTTGGGAAGTGACTTGGGCTGTGTATCTTCTGGCCTGACCTCTGTAGTGTTGTCCATGCCTGAGCTTTGGAATTCAGGCTCCCTGTGGATCTTCGAAGTTGGAGACCCCAAGGCAGATGTCATGCAAGGTGGTGTGCGAGTGCTGTGGGACGGGCGAGCTCCTGGCCGTGCTTCCCGGCGAAGGTCTCGCGGTGGGACAGCAGCGCCTTCAAACGGAGTGCAGGCTGCGTGACACAGCCAGAGGTGCTCGCAAAAAGATGAAGTCTAAGGGACCGTGACGATGGCACAGCATGCATGGACTGTGTCAAGTGTCCCAAAGCAGCAGAACCAACTCGGCGTCAGCCTCCGTCACCTTCCTGGGCCAAGGCTTCTCGCTGCTGCTGCAGGGTGCTGGGCACAGCCCCGAGCACCCCGTCCTCCCCAGCCCACCGAGTCTGTGTACGCTGGCTGCTCCCTGCTGCCACTCCTCTTCCCTGCCAGTGCCAGGCATCGCAACGGCTCTTTTTCCAGAGTGAACATCATTCTCCAGCAGCAGGAAGCCAGCTGGCCTATTTGTCTTTCGCATCCAGCTAAAAATAGACAAAAAGAGAGAGTGTTTGCCAGCAGATTTCAATCCTTCCAGCCCTGCAAGTTCAGCCAGTGAGGGTTGCTAGCACCCAGAGCAGGAGCGGTTTATATTCCATGTGCTCCCAGATTTACATCAGCTTTTATCCATCTGTGACCAACAGTAGCACAGCTGCTAAATCAAGGAGAGGCTGCTCTCCTATAAACTCCGAAGAGCTTGTAGTGAAAAACAAAAACCTCACAGGGCTATTGATTCTTTCTCATTCCTCTCCTGTTACGAGGAAAGAAAGAATAGCTGTTAAAAATATAACCTGGAGAAAGCACAGCTCTGGTCTGGACAGAGCTGCACCTAGGTACATAAGCAGAAAGGTTGGTCCAGCCCAGAAGTTGCAACTCTTACTTGAATGAAAAACAAGTTTAAATCTATCTAAAATACTGTAATAATAGAACACTAAGCTTGGAAAGCAATCAAGAATTTATCTCATCTGTAACTTCTGACTTTTGAAGTTCAGGTCTCAAAGGATCACCGCTGTCAGAGGAACGTCACAGGGGAAAATTGACTGGTAGGGGGGGAAAAAAAGAAGGTGCATCTTTAATTAGCCCCTGCAGACATGTGCCCCCGCAGGGTTTATCAGTGTTTATCACTATATCGATGTTTGTTATCATATGCCTTTGATGGAAGCATTGCCTGAAGAGGAAAACAGACATTTTTTGTGATGATTAAGTGCAAAAGCAAGTCCTCTGCTGACTTACAAGACTGTTTGGACTCATTTTATAGAGATGCCCTGGAGGTTTTCCTAGTCTTATCACTTCCAGCTCCAGGAGAACTTGCCTAAAAATCTACACTGCTTTTCCAGGAGGTTCCCTCTAAGGACAAATAATAATGGAACAGCTTTCCAATAACTGAGTGGGTCACTTCCTATTTTTAAACACCCTTTTGCACCTATCCACAGTCCCTCCGACTGCAGGCTGCAAGTTTGGCAACGGCTGTAGCACAAGGAGCAGAGAGGCCCTTCCCACCTTTTCCTTTTCTTCCTGGATTAGCGTTTGCATCTCTTGGGTCCAGCCCAGCAGCTCCACGAGCTTCTTGACGCCGCTGACCACGTCCCCCAGCTGGGCTACGTCATTGTGGCGGTGCTGCCAGGCGAAGGGGCCCACGAGATCCCGGTTGATGAGGACGCGGGGAACGGAACTGCGAACAGCGCCTGCCAGGCTGGCAAAGGGCTCCACCTGCAGGGAGGCCACCCGGGAGGAGCAGAGAGACACGGTCACCACACTGAGGGGCACTGCGGGGGCACGAATCCACTGCACGCTAAGTCTGCAGGGCTGCCCAGCTCCAATTTGCTCCGTTTATGCTGTGGCCTCTCCTCAGGGAGCCACAAAACTCATCTCCTCGTCTCCAGGCGCCCGCCTCTACCAACAGCGCGCATGTTTCTGAGGGCCACGACTCTCTGAGCGCGCCTACCCTCTTTCTGACGCTAGCCCCTCCAGTTTAATCTCCTCGCTACCCCAGTTTCTCGCTTTCTCCTCCTATCCCCACCCCTTTATCTCCTCCAAAGCCCCTGGGGCCCTGATCCCATGCACCCTTCTCTCCTCAAGAGCCAGGGTCTGCCCTAGCCCCAGACCTCCAGCGACGTTCCAATGACGAAGAGCAGCTCTGCCAGGGGGAAGTCCGCCACGTGCAGGAAGAAGCGGCGCGGCAGCTCCTCGCCAAAGAACACAATGTCGGGCTTGACGACTCCGGTGCAGACAGGGCAGCGAGGCACCTTGTCTGCCATGACGTCCCCCTGAAGCAAGAGCACCCAAGAGCGCTCGTTACGGGGCGGCGTGGGCGCCTGCCTGCACACGCAGCGCCGCAACCACAACACATCCTCACGGTAACAGCCAGCCCCTCCGCTTCCCTTCCCGAGCCGGCTCTCCGGCAGCAAGGAGCAACAGGCCTGGGCGGGTTGTCCTTCCTCGCGGGAGCTCCCGAGACAACACTCGGCGGCGGCCGCTCACCCTCAAGTCCTCTCCCGGGAACGTCCTGCGGCAGACGGTGCAGGTGGCCGTGGCGAAGGTGCCGTGGGCTTCGACCAGCCGATCGGGCGGGGTCCCAGCAACTGGAACGCACGCGGAGTGGCTGATCCACTCGCCACGGGGGAACAACCCCAGCCCTGCCTCCTGTTCCACTTCTTACCCTCACCCCTTCCTGGTGCTCTGCTGCTGAGCGCCAGGGAGGAAGCAACTCACCCCTCTCCAGTCCGTCAATATTCTGCGTATACAGACGCAGCAGAAGGCCTTTGTCGTGCAGGAGCCTTAGGAAATAGTGCGCGTAGTTGGGCTTGTAGTTGCCCGGGTAGAGTTCCTTGGCCAAGGTGAAGAAGGGCTTGGGGTTAAGGAAGAAATAGTTCAGTTCAAAGATGGCTTCTGGATAAGGGATGTTGTACTGCGCGAGGTTGCTGTAGAGGCCGCTCCCCGGGGACCTGCGGAGAGAGACAGGTGCCGGTGGACGCGTTGCGGGGAGCTGCATCGGCGCTCAGGCCAAGCGCGACGGCGGAGCACACGGATGGATCCGCTGGGCTCTCTCCTGCTGCTTTGTGCCGTGCGTTTGGCGCAAAAGGGCGCTGAAATCCAGGATCCCTGCTAGGTGCACACAGCACAGGGCCCAGCACTGTCCCACCTCCGGCTGGGGCAGAGGTGCCCTCGGGGCCTGGGGAGCGCAGGGAAGGTTGTGTGGAGCACTAGTTGCTGGTGTGGGGCACGCGGGTGACTTCTGTCACCTGCACTGAACTCCAGCTTGTGTGACCTCCCAGCAGGAGG